ACTTCCCTCCACATCTGAAAATAAACCTTATGGTATGCACTAACTATGCTAGAAATGTCATGCTTTTCTCATAAAATTCACAATTGTTATATTATGAGAGCTTATCCGCTGTACTATATATCCCTTCACAGAACTAAAGTATGCTTTTAAAAAAGGTTTAATGAGATGATGAATCAAAGCTGAACTGTATAACATAAAAAGGCACACATGCTGAAAACCCAACCCCAGAAGGGGGGTCTGGGGGATTCTCCCCCAGGAGATTTTTTGAAATACTAACATATAAACTACCTATTCTGGTACACTCTGAGAAGAAAATAAATAAATCTATTGCTACCCGACATATTTATAAAATTTTATGCCATTGTTTGTTTTTCACTTTGTTCTGACAGCTTGCTGCTCCACTCAGAGAGAAGAGTAAAGAGGAGATCTGTGTGAATTACTTTAAATTGTGGGTAAGGGTAGATAGCCCCCATTGTTCTGTTACCTGTCAATCATCAAACCGGGGGTCATATTTCATTATGTGTTCATTTTTATCTGAAGTTGTACCCATGGATGTATAAAGAATAGTTCTACCGCAAAGTTATTCTCCGTGGGGACTTCCGGCAACAATCTTGATTCTGATTGGCCAGAAGACTCGGAAAAACATCAGCAAAGATATTTTATACTACGTGACAGAAGTTTTCAAAACCGTTCATGGTCTCCGGTACTTCCAGTCCAACGCCTACTGCATGCACAGCGTTAGAAAATCGGGCCCAAAATAAAAGTTTCACTTTTTCTCCCCAAAAAAAAAAAATTCTAAAAAATTAAAAATGTTTAAATGTTTTTTTCTTCACTCACACATCTACGACCCACTTGAAACGGGTCTACGACCCACTTTTGGGTCGCGACCCACCAGTTGAGAACCACTGATCTAGTGTATTCATTTTTTTTTATACAACTGTTTATAATGTGTATACCCCTTTATTCTGTTCATAGTGTAAATACTTAAGTTTGTATCGTTCAGATGTATATATATTATACTAGACATCACATTTTCTTTATCTTATCACTTGTTCTCTGTGCAATGAAAATAAAGTTGAATCTTATCTATTAAAATGTTGTTTGAGGCCTCATATTTCTCGTGATTACCCAATAACAGAGTCAGTCATCAACCAGTAGCTTATGTTCTCAATTGTCTCCCTGGAAGCTCAGAGGTAGTTGAAAGTAGCTGTCAATTATGCAAAGAGAGAAGATAGATTTAATACTACATTATATATAGTCACACATAACAAATTGCTTCTTGGTCGAGGTCTGAACAATTATGTAATTGTTTGTGTCATCAGTGGTGTAAAGTAACTGAGTACATGTACTCAAGTATAATACTTAAGTTTGAGATACTTGTTCAGATTTCAATTTTTGTTTCTAGCCGACTACAATTCAGCGGTAAATACTCAATTTATTTAATGTGGAATTAAAACTAGCTACACCTTTCCTAGCTTTGATAAACACATTAATGCATCAATAATTATAATCACAAAATATAATGTATATTATTCTGAAATGGGCCAATCTGCATAATGAGTACTTTTACTTTGGTACTTTAAGTATATTTAGATGCTAATAATTTTCTTCTTTTACTTGAGTAACATTTTGAATGCAGAACTTTTACTTGTAACAGAGTGTTCCTAGTAGTCTGGTACTTCTACTTTTACTTAAGTACCAGTAGGCCTGTCACGATAATTAATTTTGTTGGACGAAACATTTTCCTGGAAATTATTGCGATAAACGATAATATTGTCGCCACTGTTGTAAGACCATTTTAGACCACTGACAATGATAATTAATAATAATGATTCAAGTAGGCCTACATACTTTCAAACATAACTTTTTATTGAACATTCAACATTGCAAATGAAATGTGAAATAATATTAAAATATATAAATGATATATAATAAATAAATCACACACAACCATATATATATATATATATATATATATATATATATATATATATATATATATGTGCACACATTGTCTCACAAGCCAAAAAACCCTCCTTAAAACAACACTCAAGTGTACAGTCCACTGTCCATACAAAGACCGTGGATAGATTTGGATATGGCCTCAACAGGCCATATCCAAATCTGTTTTTCAAAGTTAAAAAACAGCAATTCTGTGGTTCCTATGACAACACATTTGGAAATCTTAAAGTGCTTTGTGACATCACGAACATTCTAAAGTCAGGTGTAGGTTGAGCTGTGTGGAATCATTCTGTCATTTACTTTTGGCGAGCGGACGAGAAGCAACCTCTGAAAATCCCCAATAGTTTTTACCCAAACGGCACAAAAACACACAGTACTGAACGTGAAGCATTCTGTAACAAATACAGGTAGTTATTGCTTAGTTTTTAGGTTAACCTGTACATTTATTTAAAGAAAAACTGTGAAATATACCAAATTAGTTTCTTAGAGTAGATTTATACAGTTTTTTAAATTGAATTTGTACTGCTTTTCTATTAGTAAATCGTTGTGGGGTGAGGTGGCTGACAGCAGGTTGCCACTTGTACATTTCCTCTATCATTTCTAAATTATTCACTTAAAATAAATAATCTAAATAATCTTTGGTGGCAGGGCTATATCAAAACAAGCTGGAAATGTTCTAATACCTTTTGATAACTCATTATTGTGGGGCTTTTAAAAACAGTTATAAACATTAATCAAGGCAGAAAATCATTCAATTGTGGCTATTGGAATAACATACTAATACTTTGTTAACTTTGCTTTCAGTTATGCAGTCAGTTTTAAAATCTCAACCCCTGGTCAATACAATCTCAGACAATTACGAGATTTTAATAGTTCTGGGAGTGGGTTCCTTTGGACAGGTGCTGAAATGTTTGAAACTGGACACTGCAGAGACTGTGGCTGTCAAGGTTTTGAGAAACAGTAACGCAGATGAACTCAACATGAGAGAGGTGAGCTAGCTTTGGATGATCACGAGTCAAAGATCCATTATTGGACATTGCCTGAGTCTTAATCAATATTTGCTCGTACACAACCTCACTGTTTTATGTATCCTCAGATGTGCATGCTGAAAAAGCTCAGATGTTTTGACTCTGATAAGTGCAACATCGTCAGATGCCATGAATGCTTTCAACGGATGGACCGGACGTTCATGGTTTTTGAAATGCTGGATATGAGCCTCCATGAGTACATGGACAAGAGAGAATGGCTGCCTGCACCTCTCAATGGCATAAGAACGGTGATCAAAGACGTAAGGATACCAGAGAGAAAATAATGAACAACTATTAGTTTTCCACCCGTTAGATAAGATATACTTTTATTGATCCCAGTTTGGGAAATCAGTCTCATCATATAAACATTATGTAAATGACTTCACTTGCAGTTGGCCACAGCATTTGATACCCTAAAGAGTATTGGACTGATCCATACAGACTTGAAGTTGGACAACGTCATGCTGGTGGATCACCAGGTACAACCGTTCAGGGTGAAGCTCATCGACTTTGGCCTAGTTGTAAAGACCTCCGAAGTCTGGAAAGGACTTGTAGTGCAGCCTCTCTGGCATAGGTAAGACCTCTAGACCCTTTATCATGGATATGCAATCGATGTAGGAAGTTCACTGCCATCTGGCTGTCTCTTATTGCATATTTGGAGAAGAGCAGTATGCCTAAAGAAAATGTATGAGTTGTATTTTTATTTCTTTAACAATGACCTTGTATATTGTGCTGTTCTTCCACACTCAGAGCCCCTGACGTTATTCTTGGCCAGCCATTCAATGCGGCCATCGATGTTTGGTCTCTTGGCACCATATTGGCCGTAATGCTCCTCGGTGTTCAGCTTTTCCCAGGAAATAATCAGTATGATGTGGTGAGTAACATTGATGGTTCATTTCTACATTTGTCCTAATGTTTGTAATATTGTTTTGATATGTACTAATACTTTACGGTCAGGCATGTTTAATACATGGCTATTAGAACATGCATAGAGTAGTCAAAATGACATTTTGCTGTGTTTTGTCTCTAGCTCCGTTTCATCATCGATCTCCTGGGTGAACCACCAAGGAAACTCCTGAATAGTGGATTATTCACAGAGTCCTTCTTTAATGGAAAAAGCAGATTCTGTGGGCGGACGGTTTGGAAATTCAAGGTATAGAACCGCAACCTTCTTTGCCAAACATTCATTATCCTCCATTAGATCATGAGCATAAAAAGCAATACAATATTTTGTCTTCTTCCAGACACCCTTGGAGTTTCGGCTGGAAACAAAGCTGAAGACGAGTGATGACAGGGAATACACGTTTTCCTCTCTGGAGGAGCTGAAAACAGTAAGTTCTCAAGAAGGTGCTGCCTGTAGAGGCAGTAACAACATAGTCAAATATCAGGAAATCTTTTTGGCTAGTGTCAATTCATTTGTCAATATTTTTTTTTATTTAGTCAAGCACACACAACAAAACCAGCTTCCAGGCAGAAGACAGGAAGGCTTGTGTGGAGCTTTTGCAGGACATGCTCCAGATGGACCAAAAGAAAAGGATTACTCCAAAACAAATCCTGGCCCATCCATTCATAACCAGGAGCTACCTCAATCTGAGCAAAAACTGTCTGTATGGGTAAGTATGTCCGTTTGACAACAGTAGGCATTTTAGATTACTTTAAATGGCTATTGTAATGTGTACCGTACGCAATTTGAACATGATTGTAAACGTGATTATCCTTTTGTAGCACTGAAACTGTAGAAGCTGACAGTTCCAGCGAGAGGCCAGGGACAGAACAGACAAAACTTGACGGGTAAGTAATGATTTGTTTCTTTTGGTTTTGTGGTAGAATGGAAATAATAGTTTTCCATCAGTTTGAAACATTTCACCTGGAAAAGCGCTCTAATAAAAATGTAATGAATTATCATTATTATTATTATTATTTGCTCTGAACTCAGCACGCTTCCGAATGTTTCTAAATGCATCCGAACAAAATATTTTATGGGAACACCACGTGTGCATCTTTGCTTACCTTTAGATCCTCTGAACACTCCTGTAGTCTCAAAGAGCTGCCAGCTGGGGTCATCGAGGTTCAGACCGATGAGAGGACCGTACTGGTTGAAGAAGCCACCAAAGAGAGCAGTGTCATCAGGTAAGGCCACTAATCCCTCAGCTGAGAGTAGAAGAAAAACACAATAAAGTTAGGAGAGATAAAATGATCATAATGTTCAAAGTTAATGCAATCAAAGCAGGTGACATAAAATGCACCTTTGCCCTTAATATGACAATGTCAGTTTCAATACAATCTAGACCTTTTGATCTTGTATGAACCAACAATGACCCTGTAAGTGTTTGTGTGTTTGTGTAGGACCCAGACTGTGCAGGGAGATACCCCCAGCTCCGTGAAGGCTGAAATTGCACCTGAAATTAAACTGGAATCAATCACTGATGAAGATTGGGAAATAAGCATATCGGTTATTGGAAAAGGCCATTCCGAAGCTCCCAAGTCCAGCAGCGAAGAGCCTTTGCCCGCACCTGGTAGGAAATATTTACCTCACCATTTTCTGAATTGTCGCATTTTTCCAAACCCCATTTCTTCAAAGTTGATTAAAACACTAACTATAATTTTTATTTTCAGTGGTCAGCGAGCCCAGGAAGAAAAAGAAGAAGGGAATCAGAGGATTCTTCTCCAGGATGAGGAGGAATTTCTTCTCCTGCTTCTGTGTGCCTGGGCAGGGCGAGGAGTGAAGTAGTCTGTGAAGGTTTTCCAATGAAACTCACTCTGTCAGTTCAACATCAGCAGCTTCATTTCCCTTAACTCTGACATGGGTGTTTAAAAGTCCTTCAAGCTCTCTGGAGATTCAGTGCAAAACTTCCCAGTTACTTCTATGGGCAGCACAGCACTTCCTGTGAGGAGCAGGAGCCGTGTCTGCATGGGTTTTCTCCGGGACCTCCGGTTTTCTCCTATTTTTTACAATAAATTGTTCACAAATTACAAATATGTCTATTGGTTGTACATTTTCAGTCTTAAGATAGGACTGAAATACATTTCGGTTGGTAAATTGTTTTGTGTCTATGAAGACTTTCTACTGTGATTTACTAAGAGCTGGTCTTTCTGACGGATAAACTCTCAAGCCAAATTTAGGGGGATGCCACGCTGTCATTTCAGTTTTCAATTTTTCCAGCAGTTCATATTCCAATTCGTGGTGCATTTATGGTCAAATGACCATTATAAAGTAGTGACAATTATTTTGGAAATAGATTTGTATGTCTGTCCCCATTCTATTATTCCAACCATTTTGTTTTCTGGTGCTTTAAAAAGTACTGATATTCACAAGGCTGCTACTATGGCTGCAGATTTAAAGTCTTGTTTTAGCAAAATGTTAAGAATATGGTATCATTATCCTGAAATTTGATAAAAACTTAATTTACTTCAAATCATTTTAATAACAGTCTATAGCATGGGTCGGCAACAGGCGGCCCGCGGGCCATTGTTGGCCCGCCAGCAATAATATGTGGCCCGTAATTTTGAGAAGCAAAAATAAAAAAAATATTCTTTTTTTTTTAACAACATAGATGTGAGAGTCGCACATCAGGGTTTCCGTTAGCCGGTAATCACCAGTTTTTATCTGGTAAAATTCATTAAAACCCGGTAAATTCAAAACCTGCTGGTAATAATAAGGGATGCTCCGATCGATCGTCCGCCGGTCATTATCGGCCGATATTCACTCTTAATAGTTTGATCGGTGCTCTCTATAAAGGCGATCAGCAGAGCTGGATCTGATCGATATGGACATAAACGCGAGTGAAGTATAACCGGACCCGAGAGAGAGATCAGATCAGCTGCTGCATAATCACCTGAATCCCCGCCCACTGTTTAGCGCGCTGCATGAGAAACTGACGGGCTGTCAGGGAGAGGGGAAAAGAGAGGATCCGTTTCTCCCGTGTTATTATCCAAAGTTAATGTAAACTTTTGAATAATGTACTTCATCTACTACAAGTAGTTTGTTTGAATGTAATAATGATGTTTGTGGAATCATTTATTGAAAAATGAATCTGAACTTTTCGATCTGTAACGATTATAAACTGAAGCAATATAAAAATGACTCCCATTAACTGAGTTTTAAACATCAGCATATCCGGTCATAGTCCGGTGATTACCTGCCAACGGAAACTTTGCTACACCATTCTTATTATTATTATTGAAACATGACCGGTAAGTTTCAAATTTGTCCGGTAAAATAAATTCTGTCCCGACATATCCGCTTACATTCATAATAGGCTTGTTTGAGACAAGCGAGACCTGCGCAGACCTGCGCAGTTGCGATCAACGTCTTGCTAGTGCGTTGCATGATGGTTAGTCATTTTGTCCGACTTGCTCTGGAGGCCCGCCTACATGAGACGTTGAAATCTCGCGGGACAAAGCCGCCCGCAGACTTGAGAGCGAGACGCGGCGCAGTTTCTCTCCACGGACTGCGGAAGAGAAATGCTTGATGGGAAACGTCTCGCTGGTATCTCGAGCAGAGCGCTCATTGGTGGTTTTTACCCCGTGCTGCTGATGAAACTGAGGTTACCTACTGTAACCCCAGTTTCTATGAGTAAATGGCACAGCCCTCTAAGTCTATCGCTATTGGGTAATTCCCCTGCGCCCCCGCCCAGCACTGAAAACGTGTAGTCCACGCCCACCCGCAAGGTGGGCCCCACCCTCGGGCCTCCTTCCGGTATAAATAGGAAGGAGGCCCGGCAATCTGCTCCCATACAAAATTACTTTTCTTCAGCTATTCGTAGAGCCAGTGGGGCCCCGCACTTAGAGGGCTGCGCCATTTACTCATAGAAGCTGGGGTTACAGTAGGTAACCTCAGTTCTATTTCGTATATGGCTTCGCCCTCTAAGGCTATCGCTATTGGGTTAAGGGCGAAGCATGATGTAGTCTGCGCCCCACTGGGTCCGCCCGGCACTAGAAGCACAGGGGGCACTCAGCCTGGAATAATGCTCATTCCCCCGTTCTAGCTTCTCTGTGATGTGCTGTAATGGTCGTCATGGTGACGAGCCACGCCATTGCCCTCGCCGCCGCTGCCCGTGAGGCCAAAGGGCTGCGAGGAAGTCTCCACACGCTGCGTTTCACTCCGGCTGTCATCATGAGGCGTGTACACGCTCAGGGGACGAGTGGAGGTGTGCGCAGTGCTGTCCACATGAGGCGTTATAATGGCGCTCATGGGTTATTATGACCGTCACGGAGGCGTATCTCGGACAGACGAATGCCGCGAGCTCTACAGGTTATTAACCGATAGGTTAAAACAACCCAGTCTCACAAAAAAACCTGTAATAACTACGTTGGTCCACAACGTAGGACGTAGTATATCTACAAAAACGCCTCTGAAATTGTAAGATGCCTACGTTTTTTTTCACCATTCATTCCAATGGCTGGCTTCTATGTCACGTGATCTTCAAATTTCTCCCTGCAGAAAAAAAAACATGGCCGACCTTCGTTTTATTCTCGGTGTAAAATGCCTATTTTAAGGTTAGTTTGGCCATTAAAATGCGTTTTGATGTCATTTCATGCGAGAAATATGAGTTGTTATTTAAGATTATGTGTGCAGTGGTTGTACATGATCTTTAGTTTGCTAGTTATTACGAAGATTACTTCAGGAAATTGTGTCTATACAACGCTTTCATTGTTACCAAGATGGTTGCTAGGGACGCTGCTATCGATATTATTTCTGTTATGTTGTGTAAAATGGTGTTATCTTTATTGCTACCCCCTTCCCCGTCAATGTATAGTGTTGGTCCACAGTGCAAACGTAGTCCTATTAGTTTAACAAAATCAAAAGGTCCAAGCTAGACTTTTATTTAGCATCTCAAAACACATCGGACCGGCGGAGACAGGAAGTCCGGCTCACTAAAATGTCCGTGCAGAACAATACCCTGGCCTAACCCATAGATCCGTGGGTGAATAATGTCAATCACCACAATAGATACGTTATTTTCCGTTACCAACACCGTTATTAGTGTTGGTCCACTGCTTTTCTCTTTGAAAGTCATCACATAATGGCATTGTAATACACGGTTCGGCTGCATTAAATGTTACATATCTGCTGTAGTTCTCTATTTATAGAGCCTTGATGAGACAAACATGATGAACTGGAAACGTGACATGGATCATAAATATATCAGTAATTAAACAACATCTTACATTTATTTTCACACAATACATCTCCTTGCAGTATCAACACTAATTCGGCTGACTTTTATATTTGATCCAATTGGTAGATAGGCTGTATTTACACCATAAACGTGCACACCTGATATAAAGGGACACCTAGTGGTTAAAGCATGTTATTGAATTTCATTATTTGTATTATTAGACATGAATAGAATCCCTATAAAGTATGTTCATTACTCGTTATTCTCTACTAATAGTTAATTAAAGACTGTATATAATGACTATTTTGCACATCCCTTTCAAGATTTTCTAAGGTTTATTGACATTCACAAATGGTGTAGTTATGCAATGAATGTAAAACTTTGTGTATACCTCCAGGAATGTTAACTAAAATACCTTAAAATAGGCATTTTACACCGAGAATAAAACGAAGGTCGGCCATGTTTTTTTTTCTGCAGGGAGAAAGTTGAAGATCACGTGACATAGACGCCAGCCATTGGAATGAATGGTGAAAAAAAACGTAAGCATCTTACAATTTCAGAGGCGTTTTTGTAGAATTACACGTTTTTTTGTGAGACCGGTTTAATTACCGGCTCTGCTTCCTCGGAGGCTCTCGCGGAGCAGACCAGGAGCGAGGGAGCCTCACTCCCCTTTGACTCACCGCCGGGAGACCCTGTCTCTGGGGTGGTGGGGGAGCGGAGACGTGGGACGGAGCCCCTGCAGCCGCCGAAGGGCGAGTCTGATGCCGAGGCGGTTGCTGTGGGCGTCTCTCCGCTTGCGGCCTCCTGTGGCCGGCATGGACGCCGCAGCTGCTGCGGGCGTAGGTGCCGCTGTGGGCGCTCAGCAGGCTGGAGCCAGCTGTACATGCTGGCGAATGCCGTCCGCCTGTTCCGCGGTCGTCTTCATGGACTCCACCAGTGGCGGCTGGTGGAAAATATTTTTGGTGGGGCTGTTGATATAGTGAGTAAACAATTTTTTTTGGGGAGAAATTACCCCTTAAATTAGGACTT